TTTTTGGAAAAAAATAAAAAAAACCCCAAAACCTCGAGGGTTGAAAAAAAAAAAAAAAAAATTCCTTTTTTTTTTTTTTTTTTTTTTTTTTTACATTGTTTCTTTAAAATTCAAATAGAAGCTTCAACAAACAGCCTACTAAAATGTTTTAAAATACACACTGATAAATATTTATGTAGATTGTTATTGCATTTCTCTTGTTATTGAAAGCCAATACAAACATCCTTCTTCATGGGTTACAGCTCCTCCATCATATCTCCTACTCTTATGTATGTTTTTTTTATAAATTATTATTCTTTCTGCAGCAATGCACTTCTGAAGGTGCAGACACCGTCGCGGCCAATCTTCGAAATCGCATATCCTTTGGGCCGGTGTTGAAACAAGCAAAAAATTCAACCTTCCCCACGGAGATAGGTAATTATTAGCCGAGTGCAAAAAAAAAAAAAAAAAAAAAAAAAAAAAAAAAAAAAAAAAAGACAAAAAATCTAAAAAAACACACCATGAACTGGAGATGCTCCAGGAGAGGAAATGAGAGATGACTGTGCCATTTGTCAACGGAGTGTGAAGAATGGAGCCACAATGTTAAGTGGCTCTGTGTGTCCAAATATATACACTGCGCATTTGTGAGCTCACCAAGAAATACTTTTTGTCTATTTTTCTGTGGGACTTTTCAGATCCATCACAACTGGATCTGGTTTTGGTCTTTGTCAGCCTGGTGGTTGGCGTCTCCCTCGTCTCTTTGCTGCTGCTCCTGGTGTGGCTGGCCTACCATCGGCGGGCCATCTGGCTGCTCCGCTCCGCGGCTCCGTCGCCAGCCTGCTGCGGCTGCCTACGCCCGGGAGGCGACTTGATCTCACCGTGACCAAGGAGGAACCGCTGCCAATTATGCTGATCAAGTCCCCACCAAAATAGCTGCAAACAATTACATTAGTCAACAGACAGAGGGGGCAGTCAATCATATTAGGCGCAGAGCAGAAGCGGCCGGTCTCACCGCCCGGCGTAGGACAGAATACACAATGAGGTGCAATCCAATTCACACCTCCTCGCACAGGTGACACAGCTGTTGCAGTCAAATTTCACACTTAACCATGAAAAGTCTATTATCATCTGCTGAAAATAAACAGCACCTCTAAATAGAAAAGCTGCTCTGATCCCTTCTCTCACTGGGTGGAAATCAATAGGCCTGCCTATAACACTTGGATGAATGGATAACTTGGAAATAATAGTTTGATATGATGTATGCATTTGTGGTTTAAAGTCGTTATTGAGCTTCTTTGACAAATCGTTATGGGAAAATGTCACTTTCAGCTTAGCTGTTGCCGCAGTACTTCTGTAGTGTTTGCTTTGCAATGTTATGTCATAATATGTCATACAGTAGGTGACATGGATGGCTTGTTGATTGTGTACACTTGCAACAAGTAACCAGGTCCTTAATCTGAATTCTTAAAACTAACATTTAAAGTGTTATGGTGTGAAATAGTCTTTTTTTTGTGATGTTTATTTTCACTTTTTGGTATTTTTATGTTTCAGCAGTTCTTGCATCGATGAAGGGCTGGAGAAGCCTTTCATTGATGCACCCAACCACAACCACCCAGCAGGCAGAAACACAAACCTAAAGCCTGTTCTGAAAAAACAAAGACAGTTAACGTAAAGAGCAATCAGAAACTAATCATAGTGATTCGAAAGATAGATGGATCATATGTTTTTCATTATCACTAAAACAACAAAGGGTGTTTGAAAATCTCAAAGATTACCAAATCAGAATCTTGCAGTCCAAAAAAACTAAACAAATGCAAAACCAGACCAATGTACTGTTGGTAGCCACAAGTCAATGAGCTGGACACATGGACATGAGACACAGAAATGCAAAACTCCTGCCATACCCCAAGTTGTGGCACCCTGGGCAGTGAGCCCTACCAGAATTAGCACCAGGATGTACCTCGCCTGGTCTTAATGTTGCTTTTTGTTCATTAAATGTATGAGGCTTTCACACAGGGGGAAAGCCTGTGTGAAACTGTGAGTGGTTTGTGGTAAAACCAACATGTAGCCTGGAGTCGCAAATGAATACGAACAAACAGAAAACTTACAAAAAAAAAAAACAGGAGCAGGTTTGAGTTATGAGTATAGATTAGTAATGGGTCGTAACAGAAAGAACCAGTGAAGAACAAAGCAAGCCAGGGACCTTTTACATAAAGAGGAGGGAGTGGAAATGACAAAAGAACCAGGACAAGCAACTACAGGCACACAGATGTAGGTGGGGAAGGAGCTGATAAGGACAAATAAGGAAATGATCAACAGCTGGGGCGGGGAGCAGACTGGTAGGCTGAGGTGAGGTGAGCAACAAACAGGAACGAAGAGAAGTGAAAAGAATACCTGAGCCATAAACAGAAATAAATACCAATCTAATGAACCATATCTAAGAGACAAACAATGAGAATAACTGAACTAACACCAGTAACAAGCAAAAATGCAAAAAAAAAGGGAAAAAAAGGAAAAACAATCGAATCAGGAAGTTAGGGGTAATCTGAAAGCACACGGTAGTCCACCAATTTATCTGGGAACATCTGAGTAAAGGGGGTTGAATACAAAAGCCCCTAAGATTGAGATTATGTATATGCTAAATAGGATTTTTCCCATTTTGGTTGGATGTAAATCACACAGCAGCTTCATTGACTGGATTTTACTGTTTTTCCAGGCGAAGATTTATTTATTATTTTTTAAAAATATGTCTCAGATATGTTGAGAGTTACAAAAAAGTAAACAAGCCCCAAAGTCCTAGTCACGTTACACACTCATACACATAAAACACAAAACTCAATGCCCTTTTAACATTTCTCTTCATCTAGTTATGTTTGCCAACATCTACGCTCTGAGCATATGGACCGGAGAGACTCGAGTTAAGCTATTAGAGGACACAAGGGGCGATGGAAAAAGCCTGTAGCTCTACCCAGTCAGCTTAGCTAGTGTGGTGGAGCCTGCTAATGCGATTGGCTGACCCTGAGAGATGTGGCTTCCATCAATGAAGACAGACTTTCTCCCCTCAGGTAGCCTATCAGAAACCTGATCACGACTGCCTGGTCTTCATTGGAACATCAATCCGTGGGTCTGTCCTAAATAATAGTGGGAGTTAGTGAAGCATGAAACTATGGCTGTCAGAGAATGTTAAATTCATCTCCCCCCCCCACCCACCGCATACATAAGGCGAGTTGAAAGGTTTTATGTTTAAGAGTTCATTATTTTCACCAGAGTTGACTCTCAAATTAGAAGTTTTCTATTCATGTTGTGTTTTTTCTTCTGGGGGGACATTTTCCAATTCCCATTATTTGTTCCACAGTGTGTTGGTGCAGTTGCTAATCTCTAATCAACAAAAGCCAAACAGTGATTTATTTCTAACTTTTTGGGTTCTAGGTGTGGCTGGCATTCCACACGGATATCTGGGCCATAATCTCAAGGATCTAAATTCTCTCACAGTAGCATATTTTACAAAGAAAAAGCCTTATGTAAAGGAGAGTATCGAGGTGTAAACAAGGAGGAAGCTCACAGCATATCGAAAAGTGGAAGTAATGACAGGACCTTCCTGATCTGCAGCTGCTCTCTTACGAGTTTTACGCCATGAACAAAAATCCTAATGAATCACATTTGCTTCGCCGCCATATGACAGTTGGAAGGAGACAAAAAGATGTAATGAGGTGTTGCTCTGTGTAAGTGAGTTGCTCACAATTTAGAGTATATGACAAAAGATTTGCATTATATGCTCAGCAGGGGGCATATTGGATTTAGATTTGCTAGGAATGAAGAAACCTGTAGGCTAAGTGTCCTCGTGAATGCCAAGGAGCCTCCAGGAAATGTTAATTTTTTTTGATGTACCTGTGTGGTTTCTTTATTTTACGAATGCAACACGACCTAATGTCTCCACATAATCAGGTTTTAAATGGACCTGAATGGTGGTGTGATATAAACCAGAGCAGCAGTCGGGAATAAAAGGGAAGGGTAACACAGAACATCCTTGTTTTCTCATTTTCTTTAAAGACGCTCCCTTTAAATAAAGCTGACAGTTTAAAGCTTTGCTGTCAAACAACAGGTTTCATGAATGATTCAGGGTGATGAAATGCACGGCGTCACTAAGCTGCTTTAAAAAGCGTTAAAAACCCGTAAATCTTGTCTGAACATTACATCAACAAACTTCAATTTCTTTTTATTTGGCATTATTTTTGTGATAGACAATTGGAAAAGTGGTGAATATTAGGAAAGTTGGACATGTATTTCTTTGGATACACCTTTATTCTGATAGACTTGACTTTAGGAGTCAACTAATTAGTAAACGCAGTTCCCTTGGTGATAAAGTACTCTCAGTATTGTCATAAAACATCAATAACTGTTGATGCTTTCCAATAATTGCTTTTCAATAATGCATAATTGATGCATCAAAAGTGCATCAATAATGCATTTTTGATGCATTGATTAATAATTGATGCATCAATAATGGTAAAACATCAATAATAAATCATCATTATTGATGCTTTATGACCAAACCGTTGTTCAGGCTCCTCTAGGTTTCTCCCCTGACCTGTCTGATGTGTTTCTTCGTCATCGTGATACTGTCTGATTGTTATTGTTCTTAGGCTGACCAATAAGTGTATTGATACCGAGAATACTTCATCCCCAAGGGAACGGTATTTACTAATTAGCTGACTTCAGTCAAGTTTGTCAGAATAAAGGTGTATCCATAGAAATACATGCCAAACTTTCCTAATATTCACTACTTCCGAAGTTGTCTATCACAAAAAAAAGCCAAATAAAAATATATTTAAGTTTATTGCATCAATAATGATGCAATAATGATGCAATAATGATGCAATAATGCAGACCTCACCATCCACCTAAATTAGCAGATAGGACATGTAGAGCTTTACTGAGTGAATCAGCCAAGAGGAAACTCTGCAATTGTTTAGCAATCCACTGAAATCTGTTGACAGGCAACCACACGTACACCATAAGTCTAGTTTTTATGACAGACTGCCATTGTTGAAGGAAAGCCATAAGATGCTCTGCTTGCAACTTGCCACAAGCGATATAGAAGATGCAGAAAATGTGTAGAAGAAAGGGGATGTTCTGAAGATGAGAATGTGAGATTAAAGTAACTTTCCCCATGACCTTGAATGCACCATCCCCATGCATTTCTTCAGCGCGGTCAAAGAAATCTGGTCAGAGTAGACAGGAAGATAGAGTGAACTAATACATGCAGAGCAGAAAAATACAAAAGACTTGAGATGCACGTGAGATTAACCATCGATCATGGAAACAATCTTAAACATGTGAGGATCTTGGGCTGTTTTTGTGTTTTGATATTTAATTTTGGTTCCATTATTATTGGGTTCCTAAGTTGATTTTGGTTAGATTGGTCTTATTCCTGTTTTTCCTTCTGTCCTTTCTTAGTGAGTCTACTTAAGTTCTTGTGTCTGTTCTAAGTTACTCTAGTTTAACGATTTCAAATGATTTTTATTCCTATTTTTAGTTTTGCTTTACTGTTGCCTTCATATCCTAGTCACCTGTGTACTCTCTCGCCCCCTGTGCCACTTTCTCCCTCACTCTCCCCTCACACCTGCACTCAGTCAGCTAATCAGCCCAGGTCTTTTGTTATTCACCCACACAGTATTCAACCCCTTCTGCTCACACTCCTTGCTGGTTCCTCCTGTTATAATATTGGCAATTCATGTTATTTTCCTCTGATTTTCGCATAAAAACATTTCTCACTTATAAGCTGCTGCTGCCCCTCTGCATCTGGGTCCTTCATCAGCCAACCTAAACGTGACTAAACACAACCAGGCAATAAACTTTTCACAGGTTTCACCTCAAGGCTTTCTGTTGGCCCGACATATAAAATCTCAATTAAACACACTGAGCTTTGTGTGTCGTCATATGTGGAAAAAATATGGAAAAGTTGAACAAAGATAATATTGCTGCACAGCTGCTTGCGATAATATGGTAAATGATATGCAATAAATGCTCAAATGAGCGTCACTCATTGCAGTCTTTCTCCTTTATGGTAACACACTTACTCTCTGCTTTCAGAAAAGCTTAATTTAATAATTTTTTATTTGCATTTTTTTTTTACCATAAATGAATGTAAGCCTTGCCTAATTGCACAGCAAGTTTTGTAAGAGAATAAACAAAAAAATCATTAAGACTGAAAAACAACCAAACAGTTTGAGGCAGAATGTGCAAAAGTCCTCGAGGCACAAATGCTAATATTTTATCTTTCTGTCTCAGACGCTTAAAGCAAATTGCCCAACTGTGCTTTTAAAGAAATTAGACTTTACATTAAATGTGTGAAACTTCACACACTCTTAATAATAAATACCCAGAATCATTTCATTGTTGATATGCATAATTAAAAAGTAATCAATAATTGCTTTATTAAAACATGTCTTCCACCAGAATATATATTATATATATATATATATATAAAGAAGAAAAAAAAGTCTGGTACGATACAACAGCTTCCCGTCCTTACCTAACCTTGCGTGATAACAACAGAGTCATTTTGAATGCACTCCAGTTGGGGAAAGCTTTGACAGCTTCTCTAATCTGAAAGAAAACAGCTGGCTTTGAGGTTATTGTTCAATTCGTGAAGAGAATACGGAGATCTGTCTGCGAAAAGACGTCCACAAACAAAGCTGTTATAGAGTAATGGCAAACACAGGGTTCAGGAAGCTGGGAGAATAAAGTCCTGCTGAGAATAAAGTCCTGTTACACACAAAGACAGATGTCACTCATGTCCCAGTGTCAGGTGTAGCTTATGGTAGGAAGACAGATAAAGTCTCAGTTTGTCTTGAAAACAAACTGAGATTTTAGTGATGTATTTTGAAACGAGCCCTAAAGTAAGTTTCCATTACTGTCTGGGAGCATTTCTGCTATTTCCAATGGTAATCTCCCTGATTTCAAAAACAGCACTGAATCCTTCCACTGAGACTAACTGGGATTAAATACATGTCTTATTAAACTACAATGAGATAGATAAATCGTTCATTGCGATGTAAAGTCACTGTAAATATCGACTTGAATCACGATGTGCGTAGGTCCGATTTCAGCCAGAATAATTGATACTCTGTTGTTGTTGTTAAATTAAAAGTTTATGTTATCTAACCATCAAAGTGGAGAGATTATACGTTCAGATTGCATTGCTTAGATTACAGTGTTGTCCCGTAAGAAACCGTGAATGTTGGAAAACCGGTTGAGCAACAACAACAGCACAAACCAGCTCTGCACTTCAGCTCCGCCCACAAAGGACAAAACTCTATGAGTTTGCCGTGAACTTTCCTGTTCGCCTGAATGAGTCACAAGTTCCCGTAGATCGGCTGGGTGAGATGGATCTGTAGGATAAAGGCGTGTTTCAGTTTAGGACTGGACTATAACGGCGGCCCGAGGATCCTTGTACTCATGGATTGCTGTGACACGTCACCGGGACACTTCAGGGACTTCAAGAGGGACGACTTTGAGGCCGAATGGATTAAGGTGGCCGAAGGTAGATTTGGTCATGTGTACCAAGTCAAAGTCAAGCTCTGGCGGGAAAAATGTGCTCTGAAAACCTTTGACGCAACCTCGTCTGCCAACAACTTTTACAGGTATGAGATACATTCAACTCTCTGGAAGGTTTTTCAAAAATAACTCTTTTATTCAATTGGACAGATCAGGACTTGCAGGACTTGACAATAACACTGCACTAAGCCACACTGATGACACTTAATATATCTATTGCTGCTCCATGTGACTGTATCCTATATACTACTGCTGTACCATTTTAGCTCAGGTCAGTGTTACTTATTACCTCTACAGTAACCGATTGACGGTTCTTTTCATCCTACGCTCACTGCATTGCTTACTTGTGTTTACCAGCATATGGCAAATAAATCAGTCTGACAATCTAATTTTATCTTTATGCATCCAGGTCTTTATTTTTATTTTTAAAAAAACAACAAGCTTGTTTTGTTTTTGAAAGCATGTAGACTTTTGAACCACACTCTATATATTTTAATATTCTTTATAAAGTCAAAACTACAAATATTTCCTCTTTTTTTTTCTTTTTTTTTGTTTTTTTTCCATTTTACTTCACAGGAAAACAAAAGATGCGTTGTCCATCATAGCCAAGCTGAAGTTTAAATACATTTTGTCCATCTACGGCGTGTGCAGTGAAGCTACAGGTGTTGTCACGGAGTACATGAGTAACGGATCCCTAAACAACCTCCTAGCCAGTCACAGCTTCATGTGGCAAAAGAAGTTCCAGATGATCCACGAGATTTCTATGGCCATGAATTTCCTTCACAGCGCGAAACCTCCGCTGCTTCATCTTAACCTCAAGACGTCCAACATCCTTCTGGACGATCATCTCCATGTCAAGGTCAGTGCAGCACCTCTCCGGATGACATTCATTAGCGATGAGTTATTTCAACCCTTCTTGGTTAAGGTTTCAGATTTTGGTCTTGTCCACTGGGAGGACGGCATGTGCAAGACGACGTTCATGGAGCGCCTGACGGCAAGAGGGAACATAAACTACATTCCTCCTGAGGTCTTCACCGAATGCTCCGATTCACCGGGAACTGCTTTCGACGTTTACAGGTGACCTGCTAGCGGCTGTTCTCAGTGTCCACAATCAGAATCTCTGCATTTCATTTTTTTTTCTTTTTTTGGATTCAGTGCACAACCCAAAATTCACACAGCGTAACCTTGTTCTCTTCTGTATTCTGGATGTTTCTGATGTTTTCCAGCCAAATATTTTACTCCCATCTGACTCACTCTCTCTTGCCCCCCTCTTTTTTTTTCCTCAATATTTTATTGGATGTCTGAAAGAAGGACAGGAAAAGTTCTCAGTGTCCTTTTTGTTTGAAAGAGCATAACTCACAAAGTTTCCTGAATGCACATAATGTAAAATTATACATCTATTATTGAAAATCCTTTTCATGCTTTGATCCGCAGCTTCGGGATAGTGATTTGGGAGATACTGACACAGCAGAAACCCTACACAGGTAGGAATGAATTGCTTGAAATGAATCCCATCTCCACATCAAACAGTTTTATTACTCTTACTTTAGCAAAGAGTCATGTAACATTTAACAAGGTCAAAACGTGTTTCTTAGACTAGAATTCACTGAGGCTTCAAAGATCTCACTGCTGTATTTGAAATTAAGTCGGTCCTATGCCATGTATTCATAGAAAGTCAGTTTCATTTATAATTTTGTCATGCTGACACCAACAGAAGACAATTTAAACACGTTCGCTTCTTTTTGCTGCTTTTACAGAGAAGAATCTAAAAGTTATTGAGCATTTGTTTTTAATCCCCATCACTATGCCATCCCCAAAGCATGTAGTGACACTGACAGGCTGGGTAAGAAGAGCACAACTTAGGAGAAGCAGACAACAGGCTTTTATTTACTCTGGGGGAGCTGTAAAAACTTCACAGCTCCGGTGAGACAATAGTGGCTCTTCATGCACTCCAAAAACAGGGTTAGAGGAAATTACTGCACATTAAGCTGAACAAGATTAGAGACCGTCGAAATCAACGGCACTCATAAAATAATAAACTATGAAATTCAAGGTCCTAAATAGTTTAATTAAAGCACAAATAACATTCAAAGATAATAGACAAAAGCTGCACTAAGTTTCTTTAGTTAGTCCAGTGAGGACGCACACATTGAACTGCTGGAGATGAAAAGCTTTTGAACTTCTCTGCAGCTGTTTCATGTGTCTTGGTCCAATCAGTTTCAAATGATGTAAAACAACCTGAGAAGTACGGCTGCGTATAACAGATGAAGCGAACTGAACTGACAGACACATCTTGTGGTCGCAGGGTGCAGTGTGACCACAGTGCTGCTGCAGGTATCAAAAGGGAAGAGGCCCTGCTTGGAGATGATTCCTGAGAAGAGGCCCCCGGAGTGTGACGAGCTGATCTGCATCATGCAACAGTGCTGGGACAAGAACCCCCAGAAGAGGCCCCTATTCTCAGGTTCCAACATCAAATAATAAAAATAAATAAATAACAGTTTTAGGATCTTGTGTTTTACGTGCATTTTCTTCAATTCATGCCAGTTAAGCTTCAACAAGTAAAGAAGGCGACACCTCTCTTGTGCTGGTCTGTTTGTACATTTATCAAAACAGCATGTGCTTACACTTCGTCTCGGTATGAAAACCGAGACACGAATAGGTCTTTCGAGAATCATCTCATGAGTGTGACTGAAAACTACACCGGTAAAATTAGATTTAATCATTCCCACAAGGTTTTTGCAAGCACATGAGTGCATCTGCAGGAGTTTTTTTGTGTGAACACAAATCGCCGTCATGTTTATTTATAAAAACCTCATCTGCCAATTTGTAATTATCCCCCATATCACTGTTTATATTACCACATCTGTGGCTGAATTTAGTGCTAAGCCATGCATGAACGTCCCATACCAAAGCAAATTTTAGACAATCCCACTGGGTTTTTGAGCTACAATCCAGTCAACACCTTCGTGCTGTCGACAGTAATTTATTTGTTCGACGTGATGTTTGTCTTTAATATGGTCTTAGTGGTTTCCTGCTTTTTGTTTGCAGACACTGTGAGGAAAACAGAGACTCTGAACGAAGTCCTGAAGATCCCAGGAACAATAACTGGTCAGAGGAAAGACAACGCTGAGCAGGAATCACAGTATCCCTGGATGTTCTCGCCAGTACACAAAGTTAGTCCACTCTGACGCTCTCACTCAGCTTTGCATCTAATGTATTCTTCTGTATTTTTCTCTGTTAGTGTTGCATTGCGCTCACCTCAAACTTCCCAGTGGCTGTTAATTAACTTTTCTTTACTTTATTTGTGATTTCTCATCTTTTCTCATTTCAGTTTTTGTTTTGTGTTTTTTTCTTTTGTATGCCTGCTTGACCTATGGCTCTCAATCCTGTTTTCCATCCTCCGATTATAACTGTGATAATCTAGTCGTATAAATTGTTTGACCATATGGAATTGGCCTACGAAGCTGCATGTTGTTTTATATGCAGTGCAGATTGTTAGAAAAATATTGCAAAATTTAATTTACGTCACTGTGTATAAGAAATTTTGTTACCAGTGTGAATAACTGAATGCCTTAAAAAGGTACAGGCCCTATTAAGCTTTTTAAAACTATAACCACCCATTGGTTGGCTTTGTAATGAGATAAACATGACCTCAAGCTTACAATAATCTGTATTATTATTTTTTTATTTATCTTTCCCCCTTTAGGTCAGTTTACCTGAGATGCCTGAAACACTTTCAGGTAAGTCCAGGTAGATGGATTCACATACACAACTGGGACACAACTGGATTTTGGCTGTTTAGGAATAGAATAGAATAGAATAGAATAGAATAGAATAGAATAGAATAGAAATGTCCTACATGGGGACGTCTGTGCAACAGCAGCAAAGTGACAGGCAATAACAACAAGTAGAGTCACTCAAAGTCAGAATATAACATATATAAAACAGAATAAAGAATAAAAAGTAATGCACAGTAAGGGTAAGATTTTGACGTAATAAACCATGTAGTTATAATGTACTCCAGTCAAGAGGAATGTGCGACTGAATTGGCTAATTAAAAACTGTGCTAACTGTGGTGAGCTGCTTTTCTGGTCCAGCTGTAGAAAAGCATGATGCTGCCACTGACACCTCTTTATAATTTTTTATTTATTTCCAGAAAGCCAAAAAGTTTATTTTCAGAGTATCAAGGTAAAGGAGGCTGGATATAAATCAATCCCACACTTTTCAACGTTAAGGTCACTTAACGTTGTCCATATTAGAAATTAGTCTAGTTGCTCTGACGTAGAAACGCTTATGCATAAAGGTTTGAGCTTAAAAATGTGCTAAACATTTGCAGACTGGATGTATCACCATCACTTGTTAGCAAAGGCTGTAAAAGATTTCATTAGTATTGATTAAAGGAGTTGTTCTATTTCACTTGTTTCTGCATGACTAAGTTAAACAAGTACATATGAACACGCATGGTCTCAAAAACGAAATGCAAACATTTCACACCTTAAGGTGACTGACCTTAAGCTCCCCCGTTCACCAGAAAGACAAACCCTGTAGCATTTCAAAGCCTGCAGTTATGTAACAACGACAGAAAAGTTGTCTTTAATAAAGAAAAAAAAAATACTCAGAATTTAATTTTACAATGGAGTGATCAGCATTTCTGTCCTTTGTTTTCCTTTTGCAGATGACCAACACGACAAGAACAGCATTCTCTCTATGCTGGCCAAAAAGGACTTCAGTAGTTTCAGGCAGTCTGTGAAAGGAGATGACGTGTGCATGCAGTTTTCGGGCCATAAGAGCCTCCTTCACTTCACGGTAGCCAGCGGTGATGCAGAAAGTGTCAAGCATGTCCTGAGTCTGGGTGCTGAAGTGAACTGTACAACCGCCAGAGGTTACACTCCCCTTACCATCGCTGTTTTGCAAAGGTCTGTATGAAAGTCTGGGCACAAAGTGTTCTGTGAGTGGAGCAAGGCAGAGAGCTGTTGTTGTTGGCGCTTGAATATATTAACATTTTGTGGAGAACACTGATGAACTTTTCATGCGATACACATTTTGTTCTCTTTGGAGCTCGGAGAGAAGAAGAATGCCGCTCTTATTCAGACGTGAGCGGTAGACGAGATTCTTCTTACTTATGACCAAAAGAAACAAAAAGGGAAACGTCGGACACAAACTGATCGTTGAGGTAGAAGAACGATCGTTCCAACAGGGTGGGGGTCCAACGCAGGGGTACGAATACTTTTCTAAGTGCCAGTTTAAGAGGAAAGAAATACGTGAAGAATCTACTGAGTCGGTGGTTTAGATAAACACACCCAGCTGGGTCAAGCATTCAGCAGATAAGACACCAGCCTGCTTATCTGTTCGTGCTTTCACAGAGGCTCACAGAGGAGATTCTCTCGCTGCGTAGAACATTAAAATTCATAATGACGTGTGTCAGTGGAGGTCCTGTTCAGAACACAGGCCAACTATGGCATACGGTGGATCAAGTGCAAGCTGTCAGAGATATTGGTAGATTTAGGGCAGGAAATGACTACCACACTATTTTAATCTCGTTTTAGTCACAACAAGGTAGAAAACTATGGCCTGACTGTTAACGCATTGCATTTTCTGACCTGAACTGGTACTTTTTTGAGCATTTGCACCCATACACCCCCAATTACATTAAGAAGAGTCATAATGTGATTCTTCTTAATAAAATTTTGCCGATGAACCAACGGAGGTACCTCCTGAAGGAGGGATTTTATGTAAAATTGACCTTTTTGAGCTTATATTTTTATAAAACACCAGCAGTTTCATATTATATTCAATGTTGTCCATTATCGCTCCTGCAAACCATCAAAAACGTCTTGCCCTAAGTGCAGCACATTGTGTGTGTGGGTGCATAATGCTGGAAAAGCTTTGATCTAAAAAGCTGGTCAGCAATTATAAGAAAGGTTTGAGTCCTGTAATGATATAAAGATATCCATTGTGAAGAGTACCAGTAATTTTCAACATGCCGTTTACATTTTTTTTTTTTTTCCAAAATTGCATACATTGTTTTATTATCTCTGAAAGATGTTGGTCTCGTTTTCTGGCAGAAGTACAATTCTTGGTTGAATGTATATCAATTTAGATCTTAACTTGCCAGGGATGCGAATAATTTTATGCTTTACTAGCTGCAAATTTTACATCCCTAAACCTACTTATTTAATTGTTTTGTTTTGTCTGGTTTTTTGTCCTACTGACTTTGTCTATTTCTGATTAAAGAAAACAAAAAATATTATTTTTGAGAAGGGTGAGGCTAAGATAAATGTTGCCTTTCAACACCCGACCTAATATACCCGTCATTGTGTTTTAAGTTTAAGGTTAACAAGCCAAGATATTTAGAAGGATTTAGCTTATTGACCTTAAAAGAAAAAAAAAGAAGAAATGATCACTTTGATGTGGCAACTTTTTTTCTGTTCTATTAAGAAGTGATTTACATTCTTCCTCAACAAACAGCAGAACATAATGGCATCAAATTATATTTTTTTTTCACAGGTTTTATGACATCACCTGTTTGCTGCTGGACCATGGAGCATCTACATCGCAGGGGGACAAAGACCAGTGGACGCCGCTGCATTTTGCTGCACAGAATGGTGACGATCGAACCATCCGCCTCCTGCTGGAAAAAGGAGCCGCGGCCGACGTGCAAGAAAAAGCCGGTTGGATGCCGCTCCACCTGGCGTGCCAGAACGGCCACGAGACGGTCGTGCGCCTGCTGCTTTCGCGGATGTCAGAAGACGCCATTGTAAATCGGGTGGAGGAGGAAGGTAGAACACCGCTCCACATTGCATGCTCCTACGGCCATGTCAACATTGCCAAGCTTCTCATGGGTCGCGGCGTGGATCCGAACGCTACGGACTACTCTTTTTCCACCGCTCTCCATCTGGCAGCCGAGCAAGGCCATAACCGTATAGTCAGACTCTTGTTGACTAAGGAGGTCAAAACTGACATTTCCGACATCAGGAGATCCACGCCGCTTCATCTGGCTGCTCTGAAGGGTCATGCTGGCATTTGCAGGCAGCTGCTTTCCAACGGGGCCAACCCGAACTGCAAGACCGATCAAGGGTGGACTCCCATGCACCTGGCAGCCCTAAGAGGACATGAGGCTGTGGTGGTCCTTCTGGAGAATAAGGGCGGTTCGGTGAACGCAAAAGGCCAGAACGGATGGACTCCACTGCACCTGGCCTGCCACCAGAGTGAATCGGAGGTAGTTCTGAAGCTTCTGGCAGCAAAAGCTGACCCAAACGTCAAAGAGGAAAGTGACGGATGGACACCCCTGCACCTCGCCTGTGCCAGCCTTTGCTTGCCGTGTGTCCTCCACTTGATATCGCATCAAGCAGACGTCAATGCATTAAACTCAGGAAAGGCAACACCTCTACACTTAGCTTGCCAACATGGCTGCGTGCCCATTGTCAAAGGCCTGCTGCTAAATGGAGCAGACAAGACACTGATGGACTCGTCTGGATCCACAGCTCTGAATGTAGCCCAGAGGTGTGAAAAATGGGAAATCGTAGAGCTACTGAAAAACGAATGTGAATTGTAAATTACAACAAATTAAAAAAAAAAAAAAAAAAAAAAAATTATTGACTACAGTGCAGTATTGCTGACCAGGTCATTTTGACTTTGGTGTGACATTTTATTCCAGGGTGTTGAAGGTTTTTGATAAGTTTTGTCGTTTTTGTTATGACAAGGATATTTTTAAAACGTGGATTAGAAACAGACTTTTATCATTAGGTTTGTCCAACACCCAAGTACAAATATATAAATATATAATCGAGGCCGACTTAGATTTTGCTCAGGCAACTAAATAGGCCCGGTCTCACGATTGGCTTTTCACAGATTACTCTGTTTTTTTCTTTACAAGCACATGATGAAACTAGTTGGCTATCCAGCAGATCATATTTACATAACCAATAAACATGAGGCCATAGCAAAGCCTGTGAACAACACCACATGTTGTGGGGCAGTGTTTTTTTGTTTTTTTTGTTTTTTCTTGTGTGTTTATTTTGTTTGCTGAGCATCACCAGGCGCCTCACCATGGTGTGGTGACCCGAGTGGTCAGCCGTATCACAAACATCCAGTATAGATGTTTTCCATATTCAAATGTTGCTTTGGTTACATGAGAAAACCTGTTTTTATTACATTTGTCAAACAATCCTGTTATCTCAATGCGAATGACGAGCTAAAAAAAGAAATAAAACAGCACTGTCTAAAATGGTACTGCCACTGTTCCCGAAGCAATGTGTGTAAATTTAAGAGAACTGCTTTCAGGCTTGTTAAATCTGACATCAGCGGTACAGTGAAACATGACAAGAGAGTTTAAATATGGGATTCAAGGCGCATTATTCTTGTCATTGGGAGAAAAGCAAAACAAAAGGAGAGTGGCTGTAAGAACTTCTACACACCCTTATTTAATGTAGACAAAATTTTCAGTCAAAAATCTGGCTAAATAAAAATTGACAGTATTTTTCATAAAAAAAAAAAAATCCACTGTGTGCCTAATGATAGGATAAGATAATTATAAGCCAATTCCAACACAGCAATGGGAGTGCTACACAGCTTGCGCCATGCTCAGAGTGACATCTTATTAAAATGAAATGAAATGCCTGTATTCGGGAGCATCAGTGACCTACACTATGCTTTCACAGGACTCATCCTGCAACTGGAAGACTCAAACGTCTGGATGGAGAACCAAGAGTTCAAACTAACCACATGACTATAAATAGCCATAAACTGGGGTAAGATTTTTTATCCTGCGGTGCCAAAGTAACAGTGATGTGTTAAGCATGAGATTTCAGAAGACAATAATGTTTCCCACCTCTTCACTGTGATTGACCTCCATGTAATTTAGGTTCTTTCAGGTTGGTTGATTACTCTTTCACGCAGTTTTGAATGATTGTGACTGAAAGAACAAACAAAAATAAAAATAACATGAAATCATTAAGCCTCTTTCTACTGTTTTGATAGGAAAGTAATTGAATATCGATTGCCTGCCCCATTTGTATTCCCTTAATACATTTGTGTTATATAAACAATACATTTCATATCAAACCAAAATGTTGGTTATCACATTAAATGCAACATTATAAAACATTTCCCATAACCTTGATCAATAGAGAAGCCACATGGTTTCAGACTCCAGCAGAAAATTTGTTTTCATTTTTCCATCTTAATGAAATGACATCAAACTTATATAGTTTGATGTTTTTGGACTGTGGGAGGAGGCTGGAGTACCCAGAGAGAACCCACTCATGCACAGGGAGAACATGCAGAAAGACCCCAGGCTGGGAATTGAACCCAGAACCTTCCTGCTGCAAGACAACAGTGCTACCAACTGCACCACTGTGCAGCCCCATTTCATGTCTTAAATGTGATTAATCATGTACCAGTTACAGATCTCGTCCACCCTCTGTCCCCCCCATTTGGGTACCAAAAGCAAATAAATTAATTTGATTTTAGGAATACAGTTTACTACATAGTACGTATTGTTTTGAAATATCACCTAATTGGGATGCGGCAAATTTGTTGCAATAAAAATCTTATTCAACTTGTATTGTACGACCCTAGAGTAAATATGTATCCGACTTTAAATAACATGGAGAAGACCTAGGAGCCAGAGTTGGGTCTTATTAATCCTCCAGGTCAGATAATGTATGAGCAGACATGTTACTGTCATGACATCTTTTAAATCTATTTATGGTACTAAAAATTCCTCATAACGCATACAACTTAATAACTTTAGTTGTACATTAATCACCTATTTTAGTTGTTTTGGGAGAGTTGTGTGTGGTTGTTTCAGTGTAAAATGCAGAGGCATAAGCTTAGCTTAGAGCCACATGGTATGACTCACTGCTCCCATCCTACTGCTGAGCTATGTCACCTAAAGACTGGAACCAAACCAGTTTTTATCTGAGTTTTTTTTTTTTTTGTTATCTGATGACACGTTTCTGTGAAACGCACTGCTGTGTCACTGCGCGATCGGTCTAACAACATTTTTTTTTTTTACAGATGAAACCCATCTTTTGTTTTTCCTCATACCAAAGCTGTTGGAGCAGCTCCAGGAAATAAACAATACACTGACTTTCCCACCTATGTCCAATCAGAGCCACTTAAATCAATGGTTTTGCCTCAACCTTTTTACGCAGACATGCAACGACACATCGGATAGGTTCTATCTCGGCCAGTAATTGGGTTTTCAGGGACCCTAAACTAATTTTATTTCCTAATAGGGAGACAAGCAGGAAGAAGATAATGTCATGTAAGTTGTTGTTACCACAAACAAACAAAGCAAAACAAAGACAGGGGGACTGCAAACCAGTGGCCTTTAAATTTAATGCTCATGGTGTTCTGCTATATTCTTTCTTAATGAAATAGTTTTGACTTTACTTATTATATCTAGAATGATAATTTTACCAGACTTGTATTTCTGGAGTTATAGTAGTATAAACTAGTTGGTTCTAGTTTGCCCTTGAATAATCCTTGGGTAAACCACTGAACCTCTTTTTGTTCCTCATTCTGGGTTGTTTTTGATTACAACTCGAGGTCTAGGGGCCAAATCCGGCCCCCCATAACTATTTTTCTGGCCATCTAGATTCTACAGGGTGACATAAATATTTACGGTCCTAATACTTGTTTCAGGTCACAACTGTTAACCTTAAGTTGTGGTTAAATGTTATTTTATCAGTCAAATCAATTTTCATTTTTATAGGACCAAATTACATCAATGTGAAAAGATGCCTTTTTTTTTTTTTTTTTACATTTTAAGAATTACAAATTGAACATGTAGAAATTTTAACAGTTTGTCAAAATGCGGTTTTTTTATATATTCTATACACAACCAGCCGTTTGACATCATGATCTTGATGTGACGCCAAATGAAAATTAGTTTGATGCCCCTGGATTGCAGGGTTTATATCATGAAAATGTATCAAGAACCCTAAACAACATCACTAAGCTACAAAGTTAAACTTTTGCTAAAGTAAGTTTTTGCTTTATTTTTCTAAGTCATTATAAATCCTTATTTAACTGCATAAAAACTGACCTCTTCAACAAACAAACTTCTGTATCCAGAATGCGTTACTCTGAGACGTCGCCGAAGGTTTTAGTTTGCATAACGACGTTTTGTGCATGTTTGAACTCAAAGTCTGACTACTTGTTCTGCCATCAATGATTTCATTCACATTTAGCCTTCTGAGGTATTTGTTGATATTCTCTAAGGCTGCAGCAAAGCTCCCGAGCCGTGTGAAAACACTGCACATGTTTCAAGATGATTTGGCAGCAGAAATTTGTGGCAGCAGTTTATAAAGATGCCCAGAACAACCTGAACAGGCTCGTTTGACTTTCAAGGTCCAACGACATACTCTGCCAGGATTTGCAAATTGCTGCGTCGTGTGCAATGACTTCCAAAAATGGTAAGGAGAAAGCACGACGACGGATCCAGTTGGACAAGTTAGCACCGCCACGCTTCCACCCGTTCCTGCCAGCAACAGTGGGAAGAAGTTACCAAAAGATCTTTCTTTTTTTTTTTTTGTCTGACCATTGAACATGACCTATGGTGCAATATTAATTATGCCATGAAGGATGAGGTGGGTTGTAGCAAACGTAGATTCTGATTCCCTTGTGTGCAGTCACAATGATCTACTGCGCTGGAATGTCACAGAACCAGACGGGGTGATGCTAGCAAACAATTGGGTCATCAACAACAAACAGATATGGAAATGAATCAAATAAAAAAGTTGAATTGTGACTTAAATATTCTGACTGCAGGTTCTGAAAATGATCACTAACATCAGCATAAGTAAATCGCCAAATTCAACTTCTGGCTCAAACCTATAAGGCTGAGTCCCTTGCTGCTGGAACACTACATCTGTCTGACAGGATTTTCAAAACGTCCATCAGAATATGTAGCAAATGATTTGCAGTCCATGTCAGAATCTGACAGAAGTTGCTTAATGTTTACTAAAGCCAACAAATAACCTCATAGCTCTTCTTTGTGTGCTTACAGACCTGGTTGGCATCGGTGACTTGCATTGCTTTGAATGATTGCCTGACACTTCTTTTCCTAAGAGCAAATATATATTTTTTACGACTAAATTGCTAAACTTGCAGTGAAGTTTGATTATGTGTAAAAATGCCATCTAGATCCTACAGGGTAACATAAATAGCTACGGATGATTTTTCAGCAACATTTAGATAACATAAAAACAACATATTGTCACCTAGAAGTCAGCATTGGAGTTTGTGTTTGCCACCCACAGCTCAATTATATTCCTTGCATCTCATTTAAGTCATCATGCACAGGCATGAAGATCCAGAAGATGCAGAGGGGCTCTCGGATATCCACACCACTCTGTGATGGAAAGGATGTAATCTGGTTGTTTAGCATCTCAGAAGAGAGACTCTCGCAAGGCCCCCCTCGTAACACACACATCATGAAGCTCAGTGCTGTCGAGCAGCTGCAGTAGCGACTGACGCAGCTGATGCTTTTGGTCCAGGTGTGCAGCCTCCGCGGCTCCAAGCAAGTATTGAGGTATGAAGACTCCTGTCATGGCCACTATAATTGACTGAGTGATCCCTTCTGGCTCCTGGGGGGAGGATTTCATGACATGGGAAATATTTTGGTAATCTATCACTCTTCTCTATAACAGAGAGCAAACAGCAGGGCCAGTCTCTCTTCGTCCCCACAGGGCTGATGATGGCTCTGCAATTTCCACTGAGCCATTCAGACCAGAAGTTTTTTTTGTTAGCTCAGTGAATTGTGTTAATTACTTTCTAGTCACATAAAGACTTTGAATAAGTGACTTACTTAAAGAAGAAAAACTACTGAACTATTGGCCTTCTGTTCCCTTGTGCATTCTTATTATTCTTTCAGCTCCCTCTCCTTGGTGTTGTCATGCAGTCGTAAGATGATTAATGGCGGATCACGCTGCTATCTAACACAGAACAGAAACTCTCCAACACTCATTTACTATGCACTATTTCAATACTCTATAGACAGTTTGTTGCAGAGCATCATCTTCCACCCACAGATCAGGTTTGTTGGAGAACTGAGCTCACGTCGTTTTGTCTTTCAGGCAGGAAATGATCTTGCCGACCCTTTCGAGTAAATGAATGGCATTCGTTTTGCCCAAAGCTCTGTACTAAAAATACGTGGCCTTGAATGAGGATTAATGCTAGTTGGACTTTTCCATGTTTTATGTGAGCAACAGAAAACATCCAAAAGTACAGGATTTTATTTGGATTTCATCAGACAGACCAACACAAAATCGTACAGAGCTTTGCAGAACCTCCAATACAGCAGAATGAAATCATTGAATTAGCTCTTCAACGTGCTGTCAAGTTTGGCAAAGGCCTGGTAAAGTGCTATTCCTTTGATTCGGGTGTGTTGGAGCAGGATGCATCTAAAACCTGAAGAACATACAGTATCTCTCTGGGAATTTGGTTGGAGACTCCTGTTCCAGATCAATCATTGTAGCTCTGTCGGGTTCTTGGTTTGTGTTTTTGAGTGCTGGTGAGACCTCTGAACAGAAGATCTGTGCTGCAGGGCGTGGTTAACCTGCTGCAGCTGCTACACCTGACTGTGATTATCTAATCACCTGCTGGGGTTTTAAGAAGCTGCTGGCTGATCCCTTGTCAGTTGATGTTAATCCTATCTGTGTAGAATCAAGCCACAGCGTGCTGCTGTCTGACCAGAATGCTTATCTAACCTGAAGCTGTTTATGGCTCCTGTTTCCTTGATTGTGCTAATTCGTTGTCTTTCTGTACTTTCCAGATTTAAATTTTTTATCTGTATCACACAACAGTCTTCAGGTCATACCACTACATCTGCTGAAATAAAACATTCACCCTGTTTTTGTGTTCATGGGGCCCCCCTTTTTTTTTTTTTTTTTTCTTCTCCACATGTTAGCCATGTCACCTTATGGCACAGTGTATGCAGAGTT